CCTGTTTGCCTCTCCAGAAACCTCTCACTGCCAGTTGTTCTTCTCCCTGACCGAGGGAACACTCGGCAAGGACGCACTTGCACACAGCTGGCTGCGGGGCCTTCGCAAATATGCATTTCCCCCAGTGAAGAAAAAATTAGTCTTAAAAAGAGACTTAAAAGAGGATACAGTAGGAGCCTGCCTAGTATCCCCAGGCAGGGAGTTCCATAGCTTAGGCGCACGGATAGCATCATAAGGAATTAATAAATCACAAATATAGGCAGGAGCCTGACCCTTCAAGGCCTTAAAAACAAGCAACAAAATCTTAAAATCAATTCTAAAACTCACAGGCACCCAGTGAAGACCAGCAAGAATCGATATAATGTGGTCACTTTTCTTAGTAAAAGTGTTAAAAGCCTAGCAGCAGCATTTTGACTCAGCTGCAATCTTTGGAGATTTCTCTTGCTAATACCAGAATAAAGTGCATTACAATAATCAAGACCGGAAGAAATAAAAGCATGGATGTCCTTTTCCAAATCTGCCAAAGAAAGGAATGACTTTATCTTCGTTAGTTGCCTCAGTTGTGCAAAACAAGACTGCACCACTTTAGTCACCTGAACATCAAAGGACATTTCTGAGTCAAAAACTACACCTAAGTTGCAAGCCTCTTTTCGGACATTATTAGATAAGGCACCCAGACTAGAGGAGAGATTATTAATACTAGCACTACTGGGGATGCATGGGGTAATTATAAGCACTTCTGACTTGGAGTCATTCAACTGCAGAAAATTTTTCGACATCCAATTTTTTATTTAGACGAAGCATAACATAATATGGGATGTATCAATAATACCAGGCTTTACCGGGACATACAATTGCGTATCATCTGCATAGCAGTGGAACTCAATGTCATAACTGCGCATAATTTGACCCAGGGGTAACATGTAGATAGTAAACAGAAGGGGACCCAAAATAGATCCCTGAGGGACCCTACAAAATAAAGGAGCACGAGAAGAGGAGAATCTCCAAGCACTACGGAAAAAGACCTATTCGACAAATAAGAAATAAACCAATCCAGAGCTACATCTCTGATACCAACATAAGTTTTTAAACGGTTGATCAAGACATTATGGTCCACTGTGTCAAAGGCTGAGCTAAGATCAAGAAGGATTAAAACGGAGTACAAGCCAGCATCGGCTGCAAGCAGTAGGTCATTAGCATCCTTAACCAGAGCAGTTTCAGTGCTATGTTGGGAGCGGAAACCAGACTGAAATTTTTCAGATTAAATTATTATTCATATACGAAATCAGTTGCATTGACACAACTTTTTCTAAGATCTTTGATTAGAAATAGGTCTAAAATTACTTAAAGGGTTAGTTCACCCAAAAATGAAAATGCTGTCATTAATTGCTCACTAGGGTTGGGCGATGTCTACCAAATTGGCATCGGACAATCTCTACAGTGAAACATTGTGATGGACGATGACATAGGGGGGCGGGACGGGGGGGCGAGGTTAGGGGTGTACCTGAAGCATAAAACAACAAAAGCGTTCTACGGAGCCACTAAAAGGTTAGCCGCTTGCTAGCGGTAGCCTGTTGCATTACAAGTACATGAAAGTTCACCTACCACATACACAGCGTAAGGAGAAATGTCTGATAGGACGATGGCGAATGTTCCTTTTACAGCTGCAGACTGAGGAAGATCCTGAAACACACCAGCAAACCCTAAAACAGACAACAGTTTACAGAGGTTTTTCAGTGGCAGCAGAACTATGACTAAACTTTTGGGTGAAACTTGTTTACTTTTTTCATACTTTTATTACTTGTGGAAAAACTTGAAGAAACAATTTTAAATAAGTATAAAGAATGGCATTGGTTTTGTACATTTAATTTTTGTTTAACGTTATTAATAAAAAATGTTGTTCAATTAGCATGTTTTTGTGTTTTGCTTTGGTACCGAAATTGCTACTGAGAACCGTGGATTTTCACTGGTATTGGTACCGAATACTGACATTTTGGTACCGTGACAACACTAGTGGCATGTTTAAAACATGCGGGAAAAATGCCAGAAGACAAAGAACAGTTAATAATAGCTAAAATATCTGGATCAACCGTGTGAAATACAGCTTTTAAAAACCAAGTAAAGGTTGATTAAGTCATATTAAACAATATAATTGACTTGAATAAAATCAGTTCATTTAGATTTTAGCACATGAAGTACATATTGTGGGTGATTTGAAAAAACATATTACAGCACAAACCCTTAATCATATGATGCTTTTTGCAGTTAAAAAAAAATCTAGAAAATGAACAATCAACTATACATATTTAGATTTTTAAGATTTTTAAGATTTTAATGTTTGTATTAAATGTATATTTAAATAAAATAAATATTTATCACATAAAAAAATTAAAATGTTGTGATTTCATATAGTGTTTTTATCTACTCTGGTATAGCACAGTATTTATTAGATAAATTAAGTTTTTTTTTTTTATTCTTTTCAGCACAACACACCGAATTTCTCTGTAAATATGCCAGATTGCATTCTTAACCAGGACTGTAATTCGTCACACTGAATTCCCCCCTCAGTATCTGAGCTCTTATGAAGAACATGTGTTCGCAAAGACACCTGTCTCAACCAAACCCTCTCGCTTGCTTCTTCAGCGAGGACACCTGATGTGCCATTTGCACACGGATCAAGAGATTCTCACCGCGTAACATGCAAATGCAGAGTCTGTTCAGGCTCACAGACACATGTTCAAACGTCTCTTGCTCCTCTGTCTGGAGGAAACCATCGCTAGTCTTCATTTGCAGCATGCTGGCTGTCTGACTAAATATAACTAGCAGCGGCAGGCTTTAGCAGGATCGTTCAGAGCAGACACCCATACTCATGTTTTGATTTTTTCAGTCTTTCTACGAAATTCGTTTCATTTTATGAAAACTTTAGGACATCACATGCATATGTGGCTAATATGATTGTCAAAAATAGAGGTGCATCTTAAAACGTGTTATACATATAAAAATATAAAAGTGCTATACTAGACAGAAACACCATATTAATCTGCAAAATATTTATTTTAATTTTTCATTTAATAAATATTTATTTTATTTCAATATACAATTAACATTGAATTATAAAAATAAATAAAATAAAGTAAATATTTATAATTCTTTTTTCAGTTTCTAGAATGCATTTTCCCCTTTTTAAACTGCAAAAATTGTTATTAAAATGTTATTTTTGTCAAATCACCTAAAATATGTACTTCATGTGCAAACATCTAAATGAACTGATTTTATTCAATTCAATGAGGTAATACAATTTGTTTAATTTTATGAAAACATTAGGTCAATTTTAAAAGTGCACTAACCATTAATACTATATTAAAATCATTTAATACTTGAAATTGACACCTCTGTTCTAGAGATTGACACATCCAGACAGATCCTTTCTGGTTTAAATGCTCATTTACAAATGAGGTCCTGACAAATGAATTATTTATAGTGTTAAAATCATGACATTTGTGTTTCACAACATACTAATGACACTATGGTGCCTCTTTCTCTAATTAATTATGGAACATACGCAGATCGAGTATCCGCTTGCCCGTCCGTCTGTTTGACAGTTTTTGGCACTGCTGCAGGTCAGTCAGGTCTTGTATTGCTGCTCTACAACTAGTACTTTACAACTAGTACTACAACTTTAACACACTGACTAAAGAAACGGAGTTATTCCTGTTCTGCAGAAACATTTGAAGTATTTTTGTATAATTATACACCAGACTTTCATAAATATGCTCTAGTCAAGCTCATACACCAGTGATATTTTAATATTGATTGATTGATTTTAGTATCTGTTATCATTTTTATTTAAAGTTTAGTTAAAGTTTTAGCATTTTTTTGTCATTTTATTCGTTTTTTTTTATTTTTAGTATGTCTCTATAGTTTTTATAAATTTTATTTAAGTTTTATTTTTTTTATTACATCAACTGATTAAAAATAAGAAATGTTGCCTTGAAAATATATATTTTTTAATGTATGTATTTCATTTTATTTCAA